AAAAATTTAAAGGGGTCTGAATACTTTCCGTACCCACTGTATAGTGCTAATTTAGTTCTAATTAGTACATATACGCACAAATTTCACAAAAATCCCTAAATACAAATATATTATAATACTATTATAATAATGTTTTTGTGCACAGTTATAAAATATGAGATATTATTAAATATAGGATAATTCTGTCTTTTTCCATTTTCTTTTACAAGAGCCACATCAAAACCTGCTAGAGTAAAACTGATGGCTTGCTGCTTATTTGTTTGCCTCCCTAGGGAGGAATATTACACGATCTTTCACGGCATCACACAACACTCAGAACTAATTTTGCATTAGGACACCCGTTGGGGTTTAGGGGCTCTTGACTTTATTGATCAGTGCAGCACCAGGTCTGGGGCAAAACATCTGCCTGGGTCAATATGCTCACTAATACACAATTCCAAGTTAAAAACAGACACGGTTTCACTTTCTAAACACACATATGACCGCATACAATCAGTCCAATAAGCATGTAACTAATTTGAGGGCGGCCACTTCTCCTGCACTGCCCCTCCTCCACTGATCAAATTAAATTACCAGCAGGATGAGACCCAGACACTGAGACTTTATTAAAGCAGATAGCCAACAAAGAGCTCAGCATCTCTGAACATAATCAACTGAGACACAACACCACAAATGACACAGCCAGCTCACAGGCTAATGTCAGGAAACTCAACACACAACCATATCTGTGACTGACACACCATAAACGCTGACGGATGACTGTGGCACAAGAACAATTCAAATTACACCAGTTAGATGATGCTTGCAAACCGAACAAGTGAATACTGTATGTCAGTGGATTATGGGATGAATTCAAAAAGAAAGCATTTCAAATAAGAGAGTTGAAAGTGAAATATTTTCTTACCTTTCCGAAATCTCGAACGTCAAACAAATCGAAAGCCTCAAACAGCTCGCTCTTCTTCATGCCGAATATCTCTGAGCAGGCATGCAAAAATGTCCTGATGTTCTTCAAGCAGAGAAACTAGACAGAAATAAAGGCATATTTTATATTAAAGAAGCATATTGAATATTTAAACTAGTTTTATTACTAATATTCATACTGAAGTATCATCTGCATTCACAACATTTGATGATTTATTTAAAAAGAATTATAAACAATCTAACAAAAATATTATTTGAAGATGATACATTTTTATGTATATTTAAAATGTTTACATGCTCATATAAAGTTCATACATTGTCATTTACATGCTCATGAAAA